ATGGTAATTTATAATCAGTCACAAGAACGTCGAATCTGAATCACTTGAAAAAAACACGGGGGTGCTTAACTTTTTTCCAGGTGTATATAAGATCGTGACTTTTTGTTATCCACACGGAGAAAGACGAAACTGAATTTAAATTATTTTATTATTTTTATTTAACGCATATTATTAGAAATATGTTGCATAAAAATTAACACACAAATTAAACAACAATTACAAAATAAGGTTTTATTTTTGCTGTTGTCCTTAGTAATCCTCCTCCCACAATAATCTAGTATGAAAGAAAGTGATGAGTCGACATCTTATAGTTTCGGCATGCAAATATCGTAGCTGTAATCTTTTTATAACCTAGAAATGAAATGTATATTAAGTTAGGGTTATTCATAGATAAACTAAACGATAGAAAGAGTAATAAATGAACGACATACAAAACCATACCCCAAAAAATATAATTCACTATCTCACAAGATAATTCATGGCTCAATTTCATTGAATCTTGTAATTATATAATAGAATGAGTTAATCTGTTTTTTGTAGTCAAATAGCAGTACCTCAGTATTGCATTTATTATTCAAAATTATCAGAAGCATATAACCCAGCAATATATGCCAACAAGAGTTTAATTGTTTGTTTGTAGTTAAGCACAATGGGCTACCTGTGTTCTGCCCACCACCGGTATCGTAACCCGATTTCTAGCGTTGTAAGTCCGCAGACATACCGCTGTGCCACTGGGGGACCAAGAGTTTAATGACTTTTCTTTTAAATCAACATTCCACCCAAAAGTGTTTAGATATATCTAAACTGTTATTATTTGTGTGCAGGATTTAAAGCTGGTAACTGTAAAAAACGGAATTTCATAAACACAGTTTAGGCAAAGAAAAGTTACGTGGAACTGTATAGCATAATAAAGAACTAATGCATTCATAATGGATCCAAGGTAGTTTTATAAGCTGTTATCTTCCAGAAAATATAGCCACAATTAAGAATTCCGTGCTTAGTTACAGGCACCCTATCAAAACGAGATCCATCTGACATGAAGATTGTGTGTTACTATTCGAACTGGGCAGTCTACAGGTCAGGACTAGCCGAATTCACACCTCGGAATATCAACCCTTTCCTCTGTACACATTTAATCTACGCTTTCGCTGCATTGGACAAGGATTATGAAATCAGGCCTTATGATCCGTACAATGATATTGAGCAAGGTAAGATAGGTGTTTCTCATTACGTGATATCATAAGAATATATATTCGTAGTCTCTTCGTCAAATAAATATCAATAGATAGGAGGTTCTTCTTGCCTCTTCATCCAATAAATATTTACCGATAAAATTATTTCTTTATCATTAAGCTAGTATTAATAGGTAAGATTTGTATTTTTTCGAATTCCAGTAAATATTCGGTAATATTCTGTCTTTGTCTCTTTAGCTAGTAGATATCAGGAGGTAGAACATAGTTTTAATGTTTACCCTTAGGCATTCGTTGTAAACAGCTTGTCTTTATCCTTCCATTTAGTATTTATCAGTATGCAAAATTTTAACTTTGTTTGTTCACCCATTAAATATCAGGAGGTAGGATATTTTTTATTTAGCAACAAGCAAAATATTTTCTCTACTACTTCATTCAGTAAGGTAACAGTAACAAAGATTCAATATTTTCATCGAGAAACTATAAATATGTATTTTTTCTTTTCTATTTTTCTAAATATACTAAAACCAGTAGGTTAGATTTTATGGTGTTTCGTCATCCAGTAAATATTAGTTGTAAATTCGTATAATTAGATAATATCATAGTCATTTTCTTATAAAAAAAAGTGTTAGAGGATTTCATTAATCAGTTATCACGTCTTTTCAAGATACAATCCAGGTTTCTACACCTAGCAAATGTTATTTATCCCCCTAATAGCCATTGTTGTTAGGAAAATATTGAAAATCAACCATTCTATTTCAATTCCAGGAAATTACAAGAAATTTGTCGGCTTGAAATCTTACAATCCTGAGTTAAAAACAATGATTGCTGTTGGAGGATGGAATGAAGGTTCTGAAAGGTAATGTTTCGTACTCTTTATTAAAAATACAATGACTTACCAAATGTTCATATATTCGGTACTGAAACAGTTCTCACAGTTTACTGTCATATTGAAAATATATGTAAAGGTCTTTAACAAACTTGTAATTTATTACGAAATATTTTATTCATATTCGTTTGTTTGTTTTTTGACTGATTGTAACGCAGAGCCTTAGTTGAAAGAAGTGTTACCCATGATTTTTACAGAACCTCCTGATTGATAACTTATCACTTGCGTAGTTTATTAACTAGGTTGTTAATTCACTTCATACTCAACGATCGAAGTTAATGATCTGTTCTTTTCTTTACATTTTCTTCTTAAGAGCTGGTTTCTTACCTTAATGGCAATGGATTCCATAATTCTAAAGTAGGGTTATTCCCGGGAACGAAGAATAACACGGAAGAAACTGGGGTAGTAACAACTATCTTAAGAACAAGAAGTACCAAAAAAATTGAAACAGTATTTTCCACCAGTCATAATGCATATCTTACAAAAATAAATACAAGCCGACTAATAACCATAAAACATCGCAAAAAAGCCCATCAAGTGAACACCAAATATTATAATGAACACATATTTAATACAAATTCAAAGTCATACAATCATCTATTAGATATATACAAAAATTCTTCAACTCTCAAAAAAGATGTACACCTTTTACGCTTTTTTTTTAAAAAAACATATAAAACAGTCTTACTTGTACGTTTAGAACTGTATTTTTTCTTTTTTTAAATACAGTAAAATTCCTATCGGTGAAACGCTAATATCTTTATCAATTCGTGAAAATCAGCACCTGGATACACTAGTGGCGTTGAATTTTAATAAGGCTGGTCACTGTTTTGTATATTTGGAAATTAAAACAATTTATCAAAATAAAAAGATCAAGATATTTAAAACATTTACGTTTCTTTAAATAAAATCATTTTGTACTTCACTTGAACAATTGATAACGGTTTTTAAATTACTTTGATTCATATTTTAGCTATAATAATGCACTATTTTTTAATTCGGATTAAAGTAGACATTTAAGTCCGGGTGGGGCTTACTCGAACTGAAGCTACCCTTAAATGTGCCTTAGCCACCCTTGTATCCCTGCACCCAACGAAAATTGTTTACTATTAAAACTGGTACACATCCTAAATACTACAGTATGGGCGCCCACAAGATGAAGTGCAGACCCCTCAATTTTATGTATAGCCCATTTTAGCCTCTTCACCAGGAAGAGGCTGGAGCCACTGGTTTAATTCTTTGGAGAATTGAGATGTGTGTGTGTGATAGTGTGGCATTAAGAAGGACTTTTAGCCGAAACGTCACCTGGTACATTTAAGTGCAACTGAAAAGCTATTTTTCAAACGCTGGAGTCTTCTGTCAAAGTAATATTTACATGTAAGTCTACGGTATAGCCCTAGAGTATCTACTGAATGTTAGACAAAAGAACAACGGACGGCTGGCTTTGTGTTAGAAACAACCGTAATTATTCCAGTCAAGAAAAGAATGGTGCAGCAATTGTGATTAAAATACATAAATTATTTTATAGTTTAGAACACGCTCTACTGTTTCAAAAATTCAAAGTTGCAGTCATATGATACAAGTTTGTACTGAGACCGAAAAAAAATAACAGTAGCTGAACGAACTCTTCAAAATTTATTCATAGAGAAATAAATCTGTCTAAATAACAACAGTACTGTGCTCACATAAAACATAATTGAAAACAGGTTTACATCGTCCTGTGAAATACCAGTCGTAAAAAGAAATAATTTATGTTGTTTTTTTACGTTGTGTATCAATCGCAACTACCTTTTTTTTAGGCTTATTTCTGTCTCTTAACTATTGTTTCTCTAATAACTTTCCCAACTTTATGTTATGTTCTGTTTCACATAAAATAAATTCATGTTGCTTCAGAATTTCACAAACAATCTTTTTAAGTACAGATTCGTTTCTTGCGCAAAACAATGCACAAACTTTAGTTGTTACTGCTAGTTACCAGTATTTAAGCTCCTTTTATATTAGAAGAACTGATACTATATACAAATAAGAAATACGGAACAAACCAAGAACCCTTCGAGGACAGACCATCCTCCTTCAGGGTGAATTAAGAATGAGTAAGAAGTGTAAAGGGTGAACGTCAGTGAGAAATTTTTAGTAAAGTCATGGGTGTCTATAATAATTAACCAGAATAACACAGAAGTGTTTTGGTTAGCTTTCAAAAGGAGTATCTGATTTCCGAAGCATGAAAATACATAAATCGGCAGAATAAAGAAACGTGGGAAACTTTGTTTACTTGAGCGCAAAGAAGCACAAAGGGCTATATGCGCGTGCCCACTGAAGAAATCGAACCCCCAATTTCAGCATAAGAAGCCCTCAGGCTTAATGCTGGGCCACCGATGGGCACGTACGAAAACGATAAATAAAAAAGAACTAAAAATATTATTTAGAAAAGAACATTTCAAAAGTAATGTAGAAACTAAAATGGTCTACAAATAATGTGAGATTTAAAAAATCGCATGAACAAAGCTAGCAAGACATTGTTGAATAAAATTAATTTTAAAAATAAATAGTAAAAATTAAAACTATAAATAAGAAAAGAAGTAATAAAATATTATCCACATGTAACACAAATAATAATATAACAATTAATAAGAAACACAATTAAAACAGATCACGTGGAGTAGCGCAATGAATACAAGTAAAATAATAATATTTTTATTTGACAAAGAAATGATTAAAGGTCGAAAACCACTGATTCCGGAATGAAGGTGAATCACATAGGGATAATCATTATTCAAAATAGCACTCCAATAGTTTTTCTATTCTCTATCTGCTTAATTCCGGACCCTGTTTCAAGACCTAAGAGAACCATGTTAGGTTTTTTTTTCTTGCTGTTAATAGAAGACTTATGATTGTTGAAAAGTTACTTAGGAGTTCCTTGGGTTTATCTGAATTACTGGCGGATAATTATTTTCCACTGTATGGGATAAATAGTACGAGCTGTGATATCATTGAGGGTTTTTGTTTGTTTTTCCGAGAAGCAAATGGAATTCAAGGGGTGAAATATTTTAAATGAACATTGAGCTGAAGTAAACAGAATTTTTTTCAAATGAGTTTAAAATGATACACTACAACAAAAGAAATAATATTTGATTTTTTCTAGTACTTCTTTAATATGTCGAGTTGACTTTATAGGGTTTCCTTTCATTTTTCTTTAGAATTGAGTTATTTTATGCTAAAGAAAACCGCAAATACACATGTGATCGAAGAAACATATAGTTGTCCTTGATGTTTTAAAATTTCATTATCATTAAAGAAGTAAGGTCCATTTACTGTTTTCGTTTTTTATTTATAATCATGAGTTGTTGAACTGGTTTGTTTCAGGTTTTCCCAGATGGTAGCAGACTACAAAAACAGACAACGGTTTATTCGTAGTGTTATCCGATATCTCCGAGAATACGGATTCGATGGATTAGAGATGGACTGGGAATACCCTGGCTTTAGGGATGGAGGATCAGATGGTGACCGCTATGGTTATGGACAATTAGTCAGAGTAGGAAGCTTTGAATGCAATAATAAAAAAATGAATACATAAACCTAAAATCCTAGAACAGAGTTCGTCATCTTTATAAGACCAATAATACTCATTCTGCGAAGGATACGTGTACTGCAAGATTATTGAGAGATGTAGAGCCGAAGGTCGCAATTTCGAACATGAGAGCCGTTAGACTTCTGCGGTAGTGGAAAAGCTCACCAAACAGAGTGTTCAAGACAGCAACAGACTCTAAAAATACAACCTGAGCCACTCTAGAACAATGCTTTCACCTTCAAAATGAATGTTTTAGAGACGAAAGAGAATCTTCCAACCCAAACAGATAATTGTAATGAAGCTAGACATATCTCTTGGTATCGTTAACAAGATAATAAATAAGAATTTGAAGTTGGCAAAAGTTCCCAAGCTTCCAGCCATACGTTGAAAGCAATGGCTTCAACGTACGGTGGAGGGTCTGTAGACTGTCAAGATGGGTAGTCTAAAACTAACCACTCTGTCATTTTGTCATAATGAAAATTGTGGGGTTGACGCTGAAATGAATAATCATAACTAATCAACAGATGCCTTTAAACAAATTTATCATAGCGTCGCTACACTGTAAAATGGTCGGAAATTCGCTGAGAACCAAGTGCTAATAATGTGGCCCTTGTCTCCATGGGTTCTTAATTGCAGCGGCACACCACTACATTAGCGTATATAAGTAATTTTCACAAAGTGCGATCAACATGTTTCAAACTATTACCGAAGGTTTTTCTACTTATTACTAAATTTTAAGGTCTCTTGCTTCTACTATAATTTCTTAAGATATTCATAAAGGTGTTTTGGCAAACAGACCTTAAAGACTTAGTAATAAATATAAAAACCTTCGTCAATAGTTTCAAACACATCCACAAAGGGTTAATCGCACTTTATAAAAGCTATTTGTATATTCTGCAATTGAGAGCCCATGAAGTATTAACTCTAATGAAATTCTAAAAGTATAATGTCTTCATTAAAACCATACTCAGACGTGATAGGTTGATAATGTATTCATTAAAACCATACTCAGACGTGATAGGTTGATATAATTTCTTCATTAAAACCATACTCAGACGTGATAGGCACGAAAAAATTCTAAAAATAGTTTGTGCTATCAACCTATCACGTCTGAGTATGGTTTTAACGAAGAAATAATTTGTGCTATCAACCTATCACGTCTGAGTATGGTTTTAATGACGAAATAGTTTGTGCTATCGACCTATCACGTCTGAGTATGGTTTTAATGACGAAATAGTTTGTGCTATCGACCTATCACGTCTGAGTATGGTTTTAATGACGAAATAGTTTGTGCTATCAATGTAATATATTCATATTGGGTATTTGGTTGAAGGATCTTTTCAATATTTCCCTCAAAAATGAATTACTCATTACCTTGACCAATAAATAATACAAGGCTGTTTATATGTAATGAGGCTAGAAATATATGGACAAATAATCTTATTCAATGTACTATTGTAAACTATAATTATGATTACACTTTGGACGCTGTAAATTTAGAATAATTTGAAATAAAAATAAGAAACATTACTACTGAAACTTAAGTTATAACGCAACAAACAGTCATTTGTTCGTTTGCTTTACAGCAAAGTCACATTGAGCTGTGCTCACCGAAGGAATCGAACCCCGAATTTTGTCGTTGTAAGTCCGTAAACTTACGGCTGTCCCACCGAGAGACATGTACCAAATAATACACTTTCATCCATTTTTTTGACCTTTCGATTTATTTTTGTACTTATATTGTTTAATTATTTTACATGAAAAAAATAATCAAAAACAAGTCAAATTACTTTAAGTTGTTGAATTTTAGTACAAATTAGTTTTATTTTGCAAGTTTTAAGATGGCATTACGTATGTTACACTTCTCAAAAACAAAGAAAGGTTTGAGAAGCCATAATTTCTTACATAAAGTCACCCTGTTATGTTAAACAGATCTGCAAATCATTTGATGTAAACTAAGAAACGTCAAATTGATTCCTGCTAGTGATTAGTATGTTAATATAATTATATGTGTGTGTGTGTGTGTGTATACAGCGAAGGACTGCTGTATCTTTTAATTCCCGCCTGTTAATATAATTATTGTGTGTAGGGGAAGGTTTAACATAAGGCTTCCTAAATATTGCTTCCAAAAGACTGTTTTGGAATTTGGTGTGGAAATATTACTTGTACAACTTCACATCTTGCGATGTTTTATCTAGAATTTACTAACATTTCATGGTTTACCGTGTTCATGACCCTAATTGTCACATCATTATTCTTCAGATCCACAAGAGTTTTTCCAACCAAATTTGCTCAGGATGAGTTGGAAGTTTGATTCTATTCCACCTCATCAGCTTGAGAACATCGGGTGGTGCAGTTGGGTAGGCCTAGTGTGCCATACTTTCCAAATCCCGTGCCAGCTCTGGCAGGCTCTCCCGTTTAGCACGGACTCTCGTCCTAAACCTAGCCCTGTAGACTTCGGACTGATTTTGAGTTCCATATCTGAGTTCTAGTGCAGCTACCAGTGCTCTATAGTTGTGCCTGTCATCTGCTGACAACTGTCCAACTATTTCCAGTTGTTGTCCCATCAAGCTCGTTGCCAGGTACACTGCTTTCTGCTCCTCTGTCCATCCAATCATTTCTGTCAGGAACTCAAATTGTGCTCTATATGCTTCCCATGGTGCCTTTCATTGAATTCCTGTGGCTTCCTTCGTACTAGATCACCCTTATTGCTGACAATCATGTCTGGAATATGACTTCTGACAGGACTGAAGATGTCTACATTAGGGTTTAAGTGCAGGGTCTGGAAGGGTCTTCCTGTTGTCTGGAGCTGATTAGTTCCATGGTCAATATATCCTCCCTGTGTAAAAGACAGTAAATCGTCCTTTAATGTATTTAATTTACTTTGAAATTTACTAATCTTTCCCAT